AGGAATGCTCTTAAATTGTTAAACAGTGTTATCTTTGAACAGAAGATAAACATTTCTGAAATAGGCAGCGGTATTTAGTGTTCTTCCTGGAGTGTGGTTTCCTCAGTCCTGCAAAGTATACATCAAGGGGCTTTAGCATCTGGCTGCACTGAAATGAGTTTGGAGCTACTTCAGAACAATTGATTTTGCAACTGCCAACTAATGAAGCACAGCAGGTCTAGATGAATTAGGAAATGTTACAGGTGTAGTTGCAGAAGACAGGTGGTGCTGTTGATCAGGAGTGGTTGCTGCTATTAGCCTAGCATTCATAGAGTGCCTGGTGAATTCTCATGTGATTCAGCATTCCAGAGGTCTCTCTAGCTGTCTTCCTTCCCAAGGTATGTATGACAATAGAGTACAAATCACCACAAATCTTGCCTTGAGTGAAAAAGTTCTACATGTCAGAATGTGAAAAGAATAGTATTTTAAAATATCTAGCAAATCTGAGAAGCTTTTTCACAGTCTTAGTGAAACAGACTATGCTCTGGTGAAGAAAAGGAATCTCCTTCACTGCTAAAGTGTAAGTGACAAAGTGAACGCCTGCAAACTAGAGCATTCAGTAGAATGGAAATCCCACACTGCACTGATGTCTCTATTCTTTCCTGTTTTTCCCCTGTAGATATGCAAAGGATTCATGACTACATGCATTCATTACAAGAGGCAAACTAATCATATTGCAATGAGGTGGAATTTTCCCAAGTGCTCCACTGTCCAACATGCCCTTATAGGAAATGTACTTACAAGTTGGGCCAATAATATCAATTTTTGATAGAGTCTTTTGGCAGGACCCATTTAAAAACACACACGCCAAAACCTGTGGCTAAACTGCATGGCCTACTATGCTTGGCCAGCTGTGGGTTGAGTGAGTCCTGGCAGCAGCTAAGCAGTCATGGGCTGATCCTGTCACTTCCTCAGTTTATCTGTCAGTCTGCAGTCCCTGCGTACTTCAAGACAGGCTAAGCGATAGGCAGCATTATCCAATGAACGTTTTACCACAATGCCATGGTTAATAAAGATTCACTTCTATGTAGTTGTGCCTCCACTAATTTGTCCCTTAGCTTCCTGGTGAACCTCAGAATCACCTAATCACATATCCTATTGTTGTTCAGTTCCAGTGTATAGTTCATTAAATAATGGTAATAAGAAATTTGCTTGGAAGTATTACAAATGTGAGCAGGCTTTAAGATCTCATTAAAGTTTTTTACATTTATATTCTTGATGCTTGATGACCGTTGCTCAAAGTCACTAATCCCTTTATGTAAGGATCAATGCCATTCCAGTTAGCTAACTGTATGGTACTATGGTCAAGGTCTCCATTAGGGAGCCCTGGTACCTTACTCCCTGTTCCACTATAGTGACTTGTGGACAGGATCTCATTAAGGCATTAATGGGTCCAAGGAAAAGTACACTGTCATCATGCAAAACAACCCTTACATTCCAGTAATTGTTAACATTTTTTGATATCCAACAAAGGCTGCTTTGCCTCTCAAAAACTTATTCCCTGGAAATCTTGTTTGTCTTTACAGTGCCACTAGCCTTGTATCTTACACTTCTACTGCAGACCAACACAGTTACCCACCTAAAACATCCTTTAGGTTATATTGTATTGGGCTTGCTCTCCAGACTTAGTGTCCTTAATTAAGAGAAAATGAATCACACTTCAGTTCCACAGCAACCAGTGAGAATTAAACCAGGTATGGCTACTTTGTCCTACTGATTTCAATGTACATGTGACTCATTTTCATGTCTGAACCTATGCATGCTTACTGAAGCAGGGCTTGCTCCCAGGGAAGTATGCATTGGACTATGGCCTCAGGTTGCCACTTCCACACATAACAGGCTGCTTAAACTTCATTAGAAGAAATGTGATTTAAACAGCCTTAGTGTAGCACCACACACACAGCACTGCACATTACACTAGGACCCCAAAAATGTACACTTGGGACAGGTATGAGATCAGAATGCTAGTTCATTTTCTCTGAACTTTCTTGAACCACTGCAGACCTCTTCTGAGACCTGGAAGCTCAAGCTGAATTTTGCTCCAAGTTCTAATTTGCGACAATATAAACAAAATGCACTGTAGTTTAAAGATAAACCTACAGAAACAATGGTTAATAAGTCTCCCTGTCACACACAGCACACTGTATTAAAGTAAAAATGGTATAAAAGTGTAGTGCAATATACAGGCATGCTTCTAGTAGTTACCACCTACCACCACTGAAATACTTCACAATTTGTGGGTGGGTCACTTATTCAACCTGCCACCAGCTGAACTGTTGCTCAAAATTCTTGCCTAAACTATGTAACGCAAGCTTGCTGAGTCAGAGCACTACCACATCTGTAATGTGACCTTACTCTTCCGGCTACTTCCCCTCGCTCTTTATTTTGTTACCCTGGCAATGAAACCTCAGGACCCAGAGTGCGGGCGGAGGAGAAAACAGCATTAGTGTCCGCGACACAGAAGCGGGGAGGAAACCCGGCAAAAGGAACGTCACCTTTCCGGACAGCTTCCCCCCCTCCCCCGTCTTCTCGCTCTTCGGGGTGCAGTTCTACGAAGTGAACAAACGATCTCCTAGTCCTGCTAGCACCAGCCTCACCACAAAGCTGCCTCCGTCCCGCCTCCTTTATTGAAGACTGCGCCCCCTGCCTTCACTTTTACGGTGTTGCTGGAACTCCTGGTTGCTCGGAGAGAGGAGTCCGGCGAACGTTGACGGCGCTCGGTGTGCAATGCTGGGCTCTTTGGTGTCTCGCACTGAGGCCAAGCTCTTCGTGTTCCTTTCACTGATTTCAGCAGTTAGGGGTAAGTACAGCAGTGACGGAGTTGGACGCTGCGACTTGACAGTGAGGGTTACTCATGAAGCCAATATTAGCCAACGCCCAGCTCCCTGGCCTTCAACTATCACTTCTTCCTTACTAGAATGAGTTCCTCTATCTGACGGGAAGAGCACCTCACGTTGAGGTAACGCTCAGTTTCTCTCTGCTCTGTGTGTGAGCTAAGTTTAGGCTGGTTCTTTCTCCAGCCCAATGATGCGGCAAAAGTCATGCAGAGGCAGAATGGGCTGTATTACTAAAAGCAGTGGGTAGGGGAGGGAGAGTCCTATATTTCAGTCCTCCCCCCACCCCCTAAAAACTCCCTGGAAATACAGTATTAAGTCAGCGGGCCATGAGTTCTAATTTTTAAGCCAGTTTGGAGCGTGCTGTGGGAGTTTATCACGTACAGGAGCTCTTCCCCCAGGCGTTCGACTAGGATCCGCACCATTCACCGAGGAGTGTCCCATCCCGGTGCCCTGGCTTTGACATCTGTGCTTCCAGCCTGTGCCCAGGGTCTTACCATCCTGTTCTCAGCCATGCCTGCCGTTTAACAATGAGAAGAACTGAGCTGGTGTGAATGAATAACCATCCAGCAGTCACCCAAGTAGCATTATAAAGAACTGTTGCACTTATTACTGATATGTTCCAGCATTTTATATGTTCTAAATGATTGTTAATTTTAAGTTATTTATATGCTGATGATGTTTTTTAACTGTATTTGTACTTTATGAATGTTGTAAGCCACCCTGAGCCTGCCTCAGCAGGGCGGGCGGGCTATAAATCAAATTAATAAGACCAGGTTTAAGTCAGTATGCTAATAGAGACTTTCAGAGGATATCAGTATTCAGATTAAATAATCAGGAATAGTACCTTTGATTTAGAATCATCAGTGCTAATTAATTTAGTGAGTCATGACTGGTGGGTTAGTAACTGGTTAAACAGCAGGTGAGGAACCAAGTTCTATGGAAGGAAGGAAGCAGTGAAATTTTGTATTGGAACTGGTGATATTTTATTTGTCCATAAATGATCAGGAGTTGGGAGTGAGCAGTGAGATCCAGGTTTCCACATGACACCAGTTTTTTCAAGACGATGGAAAGCAAAACAGACTGTGAAGAGCTCCAAAAGGATTTCTCCAACAACATGGCAAATTGATGATGCATGTTGGGGAAGGAAAAAAACCAAACCTAAGTCTGAATTGATGATGGCAGAACTGGCAAGTCATGGTAGATGGCTTCTATATAGATCGCTTATAATAGCAGTAGCAAGAAAAAAGGCTAATTCTGTGTTAGGGCTTAGAGGAAAGGTATTGAATATAAAATGGTCAGCATTATAGGTGGACAAGTGAGGGACTGTGATAGGCCTTTTCTACCAACTGAGGGGACTCACACAGCCTCCTATGATTTTGGGGAACCAGGTTTCTTTTAAACTGTAAACCTTCCCTTCAGTTACCAGATATTCTAAAGGCAGCAGGCGTAAAGGCCATGGGTTCGCTGCTGTGAGGTAAGTTTTGTGGATAGTAAGTAGAACATGGAGATCACAGTGGAAGGAGTTGTAGAAATAATGAAGATTTATTAAAGGTTGATTTCAAAGAATAGATCAGCAGCATAGTTTTCCAGATAGAGGAGAAACCTGGTTGAGACAGAGAAACGGTTGCCATCCCCCTGATGGGGGCGGGGGTTCCCCCTGCTTTTGGGCCCCTCAATCTGCCACTGCCCAGCTGGCCGGCAGGGGAGCCCCACTCCTGAAGAGCTCTGGCGCGCCCGACATAACAATGTCACCCGGAGGTGATGTCATAGTATTAGGCATGTCATGTGGGGGATGCTCTAGCATTTGGGTAAAAATTGTATGGTGACCATAGAGTTTTTGCCCAAATGCTAGAGCATCTCCTGCATGACATGCCCGGCGTGATGACATCACCTCCGGATGATGTCATTGCATGCACGCCAAAAAGTCCCCGACAGAGGACTGGAGTCCCCTGCCGGTGGCCAGATAAGACCTGGCAACCCTAGACAGACAAGTTTAAGTCGGTTATGGCTTCAGAGTGTGATTTGAATTTTTCTTTAATGCTTTCAGAGGCAAAGAGGCTTTTACTGACTACCCACTAGGTGGGATCCTCTCATACCCACAGGACTCCACCCACATCAGACTGCCCTTTCCCAGGAGTCAGACTACATGGTACAAGGTCTGTTCATTACCAGAAACCAGGTCGTAAACTAACTGGGAAGCAGCAGGGCTCAAGCCTCCACCAGGATTCCCAGATGCGGGCAGTGCCCTCTCTGTGCTGTTGGGCATCCCAGGGTTTCCCAACAGGGGCAATTTGCCTCCTGGACCTGGGCTGCTAGGTAGCATCATGAAGCTGCTCAGACAATCAGGTTATCAAGTTCAGTCAGTCCTGACTGTCTTTGTAGCAACTTAAGAAGTTTCTACAAGGCACAGAACTGGTCTTGTTTGACTGTTTTTGTAATGATAAGAGGGGAAAGGGGGCTTTCAGCTGATAATACTGTCTGTGAAGAAACAATAGGGAGAGAGAAAGAGCATGGAAAGGGGAAGAGAAAGGTCAATCCATCTAGCAATGGATTCAGTGATTGGACTGAAAAATGTATCCTGTAGTCTGCAGCACAAATTTTGATGTAAGTACAGCTAGATTCAAGTCCAGGAGCACCTTAGAGACCAAGATTTTGGAGGTATAAGCAGGGCCAGCCCCAGGTTTTTTTGCGCACTAGGCGAGGCTGCCTTGTGGCGCCCCCCCCCCTCACCGCAGTCGCAGATCCTCTGAGGGGCCAGTCCCTAAGGCGGCTGGAGGGCAGGGCACGGAGCCTGGGGGATTCAGAGTGAGAACAGCTGCCTCCCTGAAGAGAGCCGCGCTCTGGAAGCAGCCCCAAGCCCGCCTGCCCGGCTCTCCCCTCACAGAAGCCCTGGCCACCGGGGGGGGGGTGGCTTCCTGGCTGGGGGGCAGCTGTGTGCTTTCCTCACCCGAGTCACCGTCTCCACTCAACCCAGCCTGGAGCCAGGGCAGGACTGCCGGCGTTCCTCTGGGAGGGCGGTTGAGTGGGACGTGGTCCGCGGGGGTGGTGGTGGCCTATTTCGGATTGCCAGGTATTGGAGGGAGAGAGAGACCCTCATGTGGGACACCTTTGCCTGCCGCCTCTCCGGTGAGGCCGGCCGGCCAGAGGCTGCTTCGCTTGTTGCTCCGCTGAGTCTGGAGCCAGCCAGAGCAAGCCTACCCCCCCCAGTGTCTTCTTGGCTTCACCCTGTCCGTCTCAATGCTCCTGCTCGCCGCCAGCCGCTCCCTCCCTCCCTCCCTTTAGGTGACCCTTTGGGCTGGACACTGAGCAAAGCCCGCAACTTCCCCATCGTGGCGGCGGCGCCCCCTCTTGGGGGGGGGCGCTTGGATCACGGGCTGGCACCCTAGACGAGAGTCTAAATTTTGACAATGATGGGCCGGCCCTGGGTATAAGCTTTCAAGAATCAAAGGTCCCTTCATTGTTACCTGATGAATCAGAGGTTTCTTCATTGTTACCCGACGAAGGGAGCATTGACTCTCAAAATCCCCCAAAATCTTGTTGGTCTCTAAGGTACTACTGGACTCAAATCTGGTTATTCTACTGCAGGACAGCACAGGCCAGCACAGCTACCCTCTGAAATTATCTGATGTAAATAATTATCTGATTGTAAGTAATGGATCAAGAGAATTATGATTTGCCTTCACAGATGGGATACTAATAATTGTACTATTACTGTGTCTTGGTGGCCCGGCCTTAGAGAAAGAAATGGTTCCCATCTCCATTTTATCTTTCGCAATGGGTATGTGTGATCTACCCTGAATCCATCCTGGCTAAATTTGCCTTGGTAGCCATGCTAGGAGCTAGCAATGCCTTGTTTTGGAGAAGGTGAGATCAAGTATCTCCTAAGGTGATGCTAAGGAGTCGCCAAAACGTTGAGTGGGAGACTGATTCACTGAGGGGACATCTGCGTGTCTACCCATTGCCACAGGTGCTTGCAAAGCCAGGTACCCACCTTGGTCTCTCAAGGTAATTTCTTCAGCAAATGCAAATCTTCTTGAGTGCAGGCCCGTAGCCAGGATTTCTTGCGTCAGGGTGGCCTTTAAATTTCTCAGGGGGCACCTAATTGATTTTGTTAAAGGAAGTTAAATTAAGTGCCCCTTTCACCCAGCTGCATTTGATGGTCTCCCCCCCCCCGAGAGGGGGTTTCCCCAGCCTGGACCCTACCCCCCCACACACCAACTCACCCTGTAAGCAGGGTAGGAAGGTGGTGGAGGAGAGAGCCGGTGCACTCGTCCACTTGGAGAGCCCCCAGCCAACCACCTGCCACTCTCCCTTTTACAGGGGCCAGGTGGGGAAGGCAGGTGGGATGGTGAGGCGGTGGAGGAGTGTGCCTGTGCGCTTGTCCACTAAGAGGCCCTTCAAGCAGCCAAGGCCGAGCATGGCCAGCCCAGGACAGAGCACTGCCGCAGCTGCCTCATCTTGTCTCCGCTCTCTTCCACTCATTCCACCCTCTGCTTGGTGTCATCGCTGCTGCCGTCTCCCAACCCCCTCTCCAAACAACAGCAGCAGCAGGCCAAGCCCTGGTAGTAGCCGCTGCCGCACGCATCTTGTCCTCCCCAGCCAACCGCCTGCCCGCCATGGCCTGCATGGGGCAGGGCTGCTCATTTTTCATTGTATATATTCATACAAGTGGCCAGCCCGGGAAGGAGTGCTGCTGTAGCCACCTCGTCTCCACTCTCCTCCACACGCTCTACCCTCTGCTTGGCAGCAGCATCACTGCCGTCTCCTCACCCTCTTCCCCAGTAACAGCAGCAGCAGGCCAGGCCTGGGTACCAGCAGCAGCCGCTACTGCTGCTGTGTGCACCTCGTCCCTCCCGGCCAGCCGCCTGCCCACCATGGCCAGCATGGGGCTGCTGGTTTTTCATTGTATGGATTAATTCAAGTGGGGCTGCTGGCAGGTGGGGAAAGGTAAGGGACAGTGGCA